ACCGCCTCCCGCACCACCCGCTGGGAGCCGCCAGCGAGCACCGCCGCCATCTTGCGCCCGGGCCCGCCGCCGCGACCGGGGGCGGGGCGCTCGCAGGCCTTGCCCCTCGCCGGCGCTCGCTTCCTCCCTCGGCGCCATGGCCGCCTCCGTGCTCGGCAGAGGCGTGCTCTGGAGCGGGAGGGCCCTCGGCGCTGCGGCAGGTCGGTGGTCCGTGGGCAGGCGGCAGCGGGGCGAGGGCGGGGGGGCGCGCTGAGAGACGTCGCGGGCCTGTCTGGGCCGGGCCCTCGAGTCGCCGTGGTAGCCGCTGGCTGCCGTGGCCGCCGCCGTGGGGAGCGTGAGCAGGGGCGGGGTGCTGCGTGGGGACTTCTCCTTCATGCGTCCATATATAAAATTGGGGACAGCTGTAGGAGGACGTAGCGCTAACATGCGGTGCGGGAGGGTGTTCTTAGTTTGTTCCACCTTGCCGATTTCATAGCTTAATATGTTAGGACCTGCCTTTTTGGGTCACGGGAAGCCGCACGGACTTGTATGGAGGCCGCCAAACCCGCGGCAGTGAGTGTTCAACAAGACCTACTAGTAACTCAGGTGGCAGAAGCACAACCAAGACTGATGTTTTTGAAAAGCCACTTTTCCAAAAAATCCTGGCCTTTGGAAGAACTGAAGTCAGTAACGTGTACCTGAAGTGTGGTGACGATGGGTAACTTTGTTGTGCCCATTCACCTTCCCCGAGCAGAAATTTCTCTCTGCTGCTTCCTGGTCGCTGGACACCCTTGTCTCAAAAAGGCGGCCGGTTCCTCTGGCTCTGGCTCTGCCCAGCAGTGAACCGGTGTGAAGAGCTCAAACCAGACCTCCAGCTGACCTGAGCAAAGCCCTGTCATGCAGACAGTTGCTTGTGCTATAGAAAACAGTTCTTTAACCCCTCATGCCTGCTAGTGGCATCCTTAGCTGTGAATGAGCATACGGAAGTTTATCCTAAAAAAATAAAAATCAGCAGAACCCCAGATCTTTTGTGTGCCTGTTTTATCAACATAAAGAAAAATAGCTTTAAAAGAAACCCCACCAACTAAACAAAAATACCTCTTTTTCTTATTTGCTAACAGTTCGGTAAAGTGTTGTACGTATTCTCATATTCTGACTGTGGAATTTTGTTTTTTTGGACAAAAATTTGCAAAGGTGTTCGGAGCTGGACGTGTATGTATACTTAGAAGGATGATGAAGAGAAAAATTATTTCACACTCAAGAATAACAAACTTTTAGTGGTAGCAGATAGATTTTCACATAAAGGCTTTAAGGTAGTTGCTAAGAATTCTGTGTAGCGTAGTAATGTCTATTTTTAAAATATTTCCTGTTTCTTCACATTAATTTCTGCAATCTTCTGCATTTATTTTTATATTTTCCTTCAACAAATTTTATCCAGACGTTCCTCGTGCATCTTCAAGGCCTCATCGTTTGCGAGTGATGCACAAACATTTTTTTTTTTTCTTTGAAATGAGGCATTTTCCCTTTTTTTTCCCCTTTTGTTTCAAAAGCTAGAACAGTGTCTTGAGCAGATTTCAAAGGTGGTACAAAGACTATTTGGAAAAAAATTTCAAAAACATTTGAGTGAACTCTGCAGTTCACAGGAGACGGAAAAAAAGGAGATGATAAAAAATGAGAGTGTTTCCAGATGAGCATCTACCTTTCATGTCCAGTGAGACAAATCTCTAGAGGTGGAAAAAATAACGATACAACAACAACAGAAAAGCCTTTTTGTGCATATTCATCTTTTTTTGCTTATGCTTTTATGCCTATGTTTAGCTAATTGTTAGCATTTGATGAAAAACATCTGTGTGTACAAAGAAGCTATCCTTTATTGTTGTCTGGGTTTTTTTCTTAAAATACAGAGTTCAAGTTTGGGAAGATTTGTTTCGTGCTGAAAAAAAAAAGGGGGAAAGCTTTTCTGTTGTAAGAATGATGAGGTAATTCCACCTACAAGGAATCTGAACTGTTATGGTAGCTGCTGCAGCCAGCTGTGTCCTAAAGACAGTTTAATGCATCCAACTCAGTAAATGTGACAGGAGAAGGTGATACCTAATAAAGTGTTAGTTTGTTTAGAAATGTCTAAGCAACCTGGCTTATGTAGTCATTTCTTCATTAGGTAGAAGATCTCTTCTTTCTGCGGCCTATGTGGACAGCTCAAAATGGGAAAAGAGGCAAAAAGAGGAGCATAGCCTGGGTAAGAAAAGTTTGTTTCTATTTTTTACTTTGACTAATTAATTGCAACCTGAACTCATTTTAGACTAGCTCATCACCTATATATACTTCAAAATAAAAAAATGCGTGGGGCAAAACGCTTCTGAGGTTCTGTGTCAGAATCTGCTCAACATGTTAAAAATCTGTCATATATATTCGAAGCTATAATGCAGAAATAAGTTAGAATTTGCCCATTTAATTAGTGTTTGGTTTCTACAAGCTGATTTTTTTCTTTCACAAAATCCCAAGCTTTTATGAATGTCATAGTTTTTTTGTCTGACAGTTTAGACTGTCTCCAAGTGTCCTCTTCATTGACGTTGTTTTAATTGTAATGCAGTGTGAAAGAAGACCTATAAGTATTACAGGGCATTCCTGTTTAAAAACATTTTCTTAAAAGAACATTTTCCTCAGAGTTTTGCAGGAGGCAAAGCTAAAATTTCAACAAGAAATGTAAATTTTTTGTTTGGGGAAAAACAAAACTAAACATTTTATTTCCGAGAAGTTGTACATTAAACTGTATCTGCATATGGTACTGAGATCTTTTGTGTGAATTTCATAGCTAAATTTTTTTATTGGATTACATTTCAAATGACATTCCACCGTCTTTTTGGTGACTATGTTAAATAGAAAGCATCATGCAAAACATTTTTCCATGCTAAAGATATATATGCATTATTTTCTACCACGAGTATTTTGGAGATGCCTTAATGCATAATCTTTGTCTTCATTTTTCATTCCTGGGCCCCTGAACTGTGCTTGTTAATTGTAACACAGATTATGAGGCTGACAGAAGAATCAGCAGGTAAAATTCAAGGGCTTTTGTCTCAGACAGGAAGACAGAAAAAATGATCAGAGTGATGGTTTTTATGCACTAATTTGTTGCCGTTAGTTGCCTATAAACAGCTAGGTTGGTATTGTCAACGTGTTTTACTGTACATGGGCCAGAAACAGCTGGTGGGTGCTCATGGCTGTAGCTTGGATCCTGCAGAGACTGTTAATACCTTGTAAGCCTTTACTGTCAATAGGACTGCTCATGCAGTGTTTTTTTGGCTGGAGCCACAGACTAGTGCCCTGGTTCAGTTCAATGCATTTGAACCAGTTGCCTCCAGATGAGAAAGAGTTCTTACTTTGACAAATGTCACAGGCGATAGAAGAAAACGTTGTGCAAGTGCTGGTACAGTCCATGTTTGGCTTTCCCCAGGCCTGGCAAGACCTTTTGTGACTGCTTGGCAAGCACAGTTCTTGCTGCTGCTCTGCCGACAGTCTTGACCCAAAGCAGATGTCTGTTCCATGCTTTTCAAAGAACTGCTTTGCATTTTCATTTTCATCAAGAAAACAAGTTAACACAGTGTCAGCTGTATTAGCATTTTCAAAAAGGAGACAGCCCTGCAGACGTCTGCTCTGTAGCTGTCAGCTGTATGGGTTGCACATGTAATCTTGTGTGAGGTAACTGGTGATTGTAGCTAGAGTGAATTCCTTGTGTTGAGGAGATGCTCTTTTATTTGTGTATTTCAGACACTGTTTCAGAACTGTTATTCTGCAAAACTGTGTTGTGAGAATACATTTAAAGGAAAAAGAAGTATTTTTGATTTAAAGTCAGTTCCATTTCTCTGCTGCAGTGATGTGGTGCCATCCCAGACTCAAACCCATTTACTGTGTCCATAGAAGATACGCTTTATTCTCTTCTCCATAGTCTCAGTGTAGCACTCCCAAGCATAAATGAGTTTAGCAAACTTCAGTACTGAAAAAAGTATGGGAAAGAACAAGACTGTATTTTATGTACAGAGCACATTTGTTCAAAACGTAAGAATTGAAAATGTGTTAATTTGGAATTTACAAGCTGCTTGCTGGTAGGAAGACACCTGTCTAGAAGTAATTTGGACTCCACTTATTAAAAATGAGATATCAACGAAACAGGAGGCATGGCTGAACATAGATTCTCCAATGTTTCAGCTTGTTCATCATTAACAAGGGTAAAATTAAGTGACAGTAAGCATCTTGATGAGAAGAATACCAGTTACCAGAAACTGAGGGGACAGCAGAATCCAGTGAGATATGAAATGCCTTTTTTTGTTAGAAACCCAGAATGGCTCATCTGCAACACCAGGTGGCAGTGCTGCCTTTACAAACTTGAATAATTTCCATTCAGAGCCTTCTTTGGTACAAAGCTGTGGTTCTTTCCAGAAGCTGCTAGGGAATGTGGAAGTACTGAGAAATGTGAAACATATAAATTTGTAAGGCAAAGTGCTTGCCTTGGCCTTCCTTTATATTTTAATTGGGTCTTTAAAATAATTCAAGGTTTTCTTTATATAGAAAATGAAATGTTAGCCTGTGTGCTAAGGTATTAGCTCTGCCCATCACTCCCAGGACAGGTAGACTTTGCATCACGGTTGTATCTGCTTTCCCGTTGCTGCCCCATCACTGGATTTCAGTCCTTACATGGTAGCCAAATGTGCCACTTGTTGATGTGGCTACATGCTGTGGATAGGTTCACACTGAGAATCAAACTGAAACTGTGTTGATTTCCTAGGCCAGCAAACCGGTATTAGATGTCATAACCACTGACTTGGAAGGTGAGGGTCAATGCTTTTCTGGTCATTGTTCTGAATCACCCTGTTGCAGGCTGCAAGACATTGAGTTTCTATGAACAAATGAAAATAGAAGTGAACATGAAATCTCAGATACCTATATCCTAGAGACAACTGTGAAGTCATGTCCAGAAGTTAAATGGCCTCAGCTCAGACGTACGGTTTGTTTTGTTAGTTTGTTTAAATCCATAAGGTTCTGTAACATCCAGAAGTATGTTCTTAGAGAAATTAAAGTTTTGTAAAAGTTTATCTTGTAGAAATATATTTTTAGGTGATGTGTATGAGAGATCATATGTACTATGACTATCAGATAAAAGTGCTTGCAACTTATAGCTGTTGGAATGTACATAAAATTTTGCTTTGGCCATTAAAACATTTATTTGGTTTATACACCAATGTTAGCGTGCTCAATTTTTACTACCAGCAGTGATAGGAGACTTGAGCATTCACATTCTTGCATTCTAGTACTTCTGTCAGATGTTTTTAACTAAGAAGTTTAATTTTGATTATTGAATAGCAATTTATGGAGCAAACTTGGTTTACAAAAGGTAGATCAATTATTTCAAGTCATGAATATGAGAAAAAAGTCTGGTTTTAGATGCTCTTCAGAGAAAACAAACCAGGAAGGAATCACTCACTACAAATTATTCATATCTAGAAACTACAGCAGAAACAGCAATTTGTCTGGAAACAAAGCTAAATTTCCCATTAACTTGAGTTGTCTTCTAATCTTTAAGGTTTAATCAGCTTTAATTTTGTTGTGACTCCTGTACCGGAGCTGATAGATGAGAGTTTCATGTTGCTTTCCATGCTAAAGTTCTGATGGAGAGTTCTAGCTTTGTAGACAGCATAAAAGGTCAGTCATTAAAATTCTGTGGTGTGAACTCTCCCAGAGGAGGCCTGTGTGTAACAGCTAACAGTCTTGGGATCTTGCACTCATAGCATTGTATTCATTTGGTTTATATTCTACTTAAGTACTCAGTGTTTCCTGAAATGGGCTCTTCATCTTCATGAGCACATAGACCAAAGAAGTGCCATGGTCAGGGGTTGAGTATGGCCTAACATGGTCTTAGGTATCAACTTACAGTTTTCAGAGAGTGATGCGCAACCAAAATAGTTCTGGAATAGATAAACGAACTCCCAACCTGTGCAGCTTTCTGTCTCAGGTCCATGTTGCTGTGTCATCAAACACGGCAAATTTCGGAGTTAATACTTTTTTCCAGTTACCTTGAAATGCAGATGAAGAGTATTGGATGGCAGTAAGCTTAGTATGTTTAGGCAAGGATCTAGCCAGTTCTTACTTCCTGACAAGATTACCTGGCTGTAGCATCCATTCTCTGTAACTTATAGCACTACTGGGAATGCCCCCAAAGTCTTTATCTACATGCTCCCTCCTGACCTTTGAGGGTGCTGGAGAGACGGGTAGTACAGAGTCAATACAGACCATTCTTGTAAGGATATTCCCACCGAAAATTCTTTACCATTAAAAAAAGTTAATCTGCTGTTTTAGTAGTTATCTGGTATAGCATGGCCTTGGTGGCCCACATCAGCTCAGTATCCTGTGTTGTATTTTGTAGGAGCTGGTACTTGCCTCAGTAACTTTGCCCCAGATTTCCCTTTGCTTTCATGGTCATGAAATGCTTGCCTTCCCTCAGACAGAGATAAATGCTCTTTTTGTGTTTTGAAGAACACCTTAAAGTACCTCAGGAAGGAAGGTGTTATGTAAATACAAAATACTGGTATGTGGCAGACAGCAGCATTGTACAGACTAAGAGTCAATCATTTTATTCCAAATCAAGGCTCTGTCAATTTTACTGCAGCAAAAATCTGCACATGTGTTGTAATTTTAGAGAATACCTATAAGGTCAGAGTAGCGTTGAATGCCATTCGTAGTGTTAGAACTACATACCCCTCAGTATTCATTGGCGGTACAGGTGTGTTTTTAAGCTGAATAGTGATACCACTTGTTTTGCAGACAGAACATAACATGTACTTCAGCCCTCTGAGGCACAGCATGTTTATTGGTGCAGTGCTGCTTCCTGCCCCTGACAACTTTGCCAGAGTAGAAGGCTTAGTCAATTCTGATGTGGTGCTGCAAGTTGTGCCCACCTCACATTTGATTGACAGGTGTGGAGGTTGGATGACCTTTTTGGAAAATGAATCGTAAAACGAGCCAACCTGTCAGCTCTTGAGGTATGGCCAATGGGATTAACTGAGAGGTGTCAAAGGAGAGGCTGGTTTAGTAACAGTTGTAGTCTTGGGGTGCAAAGGATGAAGCAAGGTACTACTAATGGTGCGGAGAGAATACGTTAGATTCGTGGTCCTGGGAAGATGCAGGAGAATAGAAAGAAAGAGTACGATTGAAGTCTCTAAATTTTATAGATTAAATACATCAGTTCACGTCTCAGCTAAGAATCAAACAGCTGACACTAAGCATACAGTAAACAGCTTGCTCTTCCTGAGTCGTCATTATTTTCCAGGAACAGGACAAAACTAACACTCTAAATTAAATTGATTTAACTTCCAGTTAAATTCTGTAAATTCATTAAATGGAATGGTTGGCTACCTGTTCAGCAGTCAGAAGCTTAAAGTTCTCGTATGGTCAGATTAATATTGTTAAACGACTGCTGGAGCAGAATGCTATAAAGTTAATAAGGTACTGGCACAGTGCCCAGTTTGATTAACAGGATTTCTTTGGATTGCTGTTTGTGACTAGGGTTTATCAGTATGGTACTGCTTGTTTCTGTATCTCATTGTTTTACAGTAAAATAAAGGAGAAACCCATGTCAAAAGCACTGTCCAGCATACACTAAGCTTGAAAGCAAGTGTGAGTTTTAAAGACATCTGCTCAGTTTTTTTAGATGATTTACATTAGTTATGCTAATTTCATCCAAGACATTATAGGGTAGTTTGCTTGTTTACCCCTTCTTTCTAGTAAGTTAAAATAATCATGTTGAGAACCTTTCCATCTATTATTTTCTGTTAAAGTATTTGACAATAATTGAAAGTATTGTTTTCATACAACTTCAAAATGAGATGTTAACAAGGAACCAGAATTTGATTTCATGAACAGAGGTTCTATTCTAGGTTATATGATAGCTCTGCAGATTTTCCTGTAATGCCAGTTGATTAAACATACTCTTTTTCTGTTTTCTCCAGCTGACTTAGCCCACTTAATGGACAGAACCTATGAAAGAAAGCTGCCTGTCAGCTCTTTGACAATAGGCCGGGTAAGGAAATAAATCCCAATCATAAAGTGATGGAATGCTTATGAAATCAAGTGAGCTGAGAGGGGATAAATGATATCACCTCTGCTGGGAGTTCTGGGACCGTAAATGTCTTGTTACACTGTTAGATTGCGGTGTAAAGCTGTTTTATTGTTATTTTGTACTCATTAGGTAGTACCTAGACTGTAGGGTCTTCAAAACAGAAATAGTTTTTTTTTCTCAGTAAAATTGGGCCTCACTGTTCCTGACTATGTGTTTCCCTGATATATGTTCCCTGCCTTCCTGTGGTTTCTGTCTTAGCGAGAGCTTTAATGCCCCCTCAGGCACTTTATAAGAACCCAGGCTGCTAAGGGAATGCAGTGAATTAGCACACTGCCTGTCTGCATGCATCTTCCTCCACTTTCAGGCTCCTTTCAGAGTGAGGCAGAGGTGGATACATTTTGCCTCTGTAGTTTTGTTTCCTTGCCTCAGCAGACTGAGGCAAGACAAATGCTGGCATGGGATAAGAAAAGCCATTGGTTTTACTGGAATTAGTAACTAGTTCCATCCTCTGGATGGTTTAATCTGGGGAGGGGGATGGAAGGCAGAGATGTGAGATGTGCTTTTAAGTTCCCTGTGTGTTTGTACTGCAGAAGGAGAATAAATATGTCACTTGTTTAAAAAAAAACACAAACCAAACTAGTTTCAATCTTCAAAATTATCCAAAAAAGCTGAGGCACCATCCTGGTACCTCACTAACATCACTAATTAGGATCGTTGGCACCACTGATGGAGGAGTCACAGAACAGTGACAAGATGTTGTACATCTTTGTACAGTTACAAGATCAAGCATTTATACAGATCAAGCGTTCAGACAGAGGGAGGTGGGTGTTCTTCTCCCTTTTATTACTTAATCAGCTCTATTCCTTTCTTTTGTGTTCTTGCTTTGGGCTGACCTCTTCCCTGGAGAAGTGGCATTTCCAGATGGTGAAACAGCTCCCCTTTCCAATACCTGGAGCTCACATCAGATTCTTATTTTCTAAAATGTAAATAAAGCACATGGGCTTGCTATTGCCACACTGAAAAGATGAGACCTACATGTACACAGCGTGCAAGGAGGGTTAAGAAACTGGAGATCAAGTACCAGTCAGCTGAAACTATTATTTTTAGCTTATGCTTAGAATGAAGAGAAGTACTGCCCTTGAAAACATGTTGTTTATATAGTCTGAGCTAAAGGTATTATGTTGGGAAGCCTCTGGAATGTTCCAGCATCTCTATGCTTATGTTAGTAAAACCTACAGGAAAACAGGATTCACTGTTACCATAAGACAAAGTCTGGTTGAAAACTTGGCTTTTATTTAAATAGTTGATAGCACTAGGAATTTTGGAAGATTGCCTGGAGTAGACAAGGTTTTAAAGGAGAGGAAAATTGTGCTTTACAGCATGGGGGGTGATTTTTTCTTACGATTTTTTATGTGTGGTGAAATACAAAATGCTGTTGCTGCTGTCCTTCAGGATTTATAGTATGAATAGGCACAACAGGCAAACCTTAGGGAAAAGAATATTTTTTAGAAAGAGAAGTAAGGCATATCGAGACTCACTCAAAATTGGGGAAGAAAAAGTAAGGATCTGAATGTATTCTTAAATTAAAGAGCAAAAAGTTCAGAGAGGAGCAGCAAAAATACGGGGTACTGAGCTATATGGACATAATTCTCAGGTGGTCTCCATGTTTTCAAGGTGCATAATGTTTCTTAGAGGTGAGGAGGGGAGTTCTCCCAGTTTTTTTAAAAAGATTTGACTTTTAGCAGTCTAGAAGAAACCTGAGTAGGAGCAAACAAAGACTTGAAGACCTGCAGTACTGTCAGACACCTAAATATGCCAAACAAATGTATTTTGTTTATTGAAGTGGCATTTTCTTCTAACAGGCTTTGTGAGTGCTCCCTCTGAGGCTTTTATTTCTTTTTTTTTTAATCAGTTCGTTGACAACATTACTTCACGAGAGGAAGTGGATCAAGCCGAATACTACCTTTACAAGTAAGCATCTTTTCCCCCCAACATGAACTTTGAGACATACAAGTAAATACCATGAAGTCTTGCCCTTTTAAGACTCTTACCCTTTCCAGCTAACTGGCTTTGATTTCTGTTTTGCAAAATATGTGCATCTACTTGTCTTACAACTCACAGCTAAGGGCCTTCTTGGTAACTTCTCCTTTGTTATGGCTACCCTTTTTCTGGACCTCTGGCATTGACTCCTGTCAAGCATGTTAGTCTGAGTCACTGAACAGCTAGTACAACCTTCAGCTATGATTTACATTAGAGGTGCTGAAATTATAAGGAATTATGTTTGTTTACAGTTTTTCCTTCTGATACTTTTTTGTTCTCTAAGTCATAATTTAACTAAATTGGCTATACGCATATTTGCATGGGTAACTGTAGGACTGAAGGAAGCTTGTTTCCTTAGAATGAACAGAAATGAGAGTGGGCACGCTGTGGTAATGATCAACGCACCAGGGCTAAATGAAGTATAGTTTTGGTTTTTATCCCCTTAATACTTTGTATTCCCCAGATAAGCTGTGTCGTTCACCTAATGCATGGGTTTTTAAGGTTTTCTGCAGCTGTTTTTGTGTTGAGTGAAGCATATTGGGTATATTGTCAGGTTGAATGCTTGCTTATTTCAAGTTAGTACATCTCAATATTGACTTTAAGAAGGCAGTAATTCTTGCTGATCACTAAAATAAATTAGTTCTTTTATGGATGGTTGCACACACATTTTGAGAGCTAGGTTTCCTGACAGAGAAAGTAAATCACTCTGTCAAAGTGCATGAGAAAGCATCTTTACAAATAATGTCAGGTTGTTATTTGTAAATAATAAAGATTGTTATTTTAATGAATAAGTTTACCGGATGGCTGTTTTAAGTATATGCATAGTTTTAAGTGCATGACTGCATTAGACTTCTGATCTCTGTGATTCTTTGGTAATACTGGGGCATCATCTGAACCTCAGAGCTTCAAGATGGAAACAAGAGAACCCAGTTTGCTAATACTAGCAATATCCTGTAATGAAAAAATAAAAGGAGGAAGAAGAATCTCTCACAGAGAGGAGGCTAGTGGAGCTTTCATTCCTTCTGATCAAGATTTCATTAGTCCTGTCAGAACGTGTGGTCAGAAATCAGTTTTCCATCCTGCAACAGGTGAGATGGAAACAGGAGAAAGAAAAGCTAGTTTAAGGCAAGCCCTCATTTTTGTTTTACAGATGTGCTATTAGTACCCTTTGCTAACATTCTTGAAGATTGTAGAGTACATAGTGCCACACGGACTTAAGTTCTCTGGCGACAGGCCCTGTAGGGTAAGTGATGCCAAGAGACCTTTGAATGTACTGACATCAAGAGGAAAGTGTGGTAGTTTAATTGCTGAGCCTCAGAATGGTACAGATAAAATCCAGATAGTCGGAGCGAGATGTTCATAATGTATCTTACAGGTTTGTTAAAAACAAGACATTCAGAGAGCGCGACAAAAAATTAGAAGCATAGAAAACATTCCATAGTAAGAGGGAGAGAATAGAATGGGAATCTTTAACATGTAAATATCCTCCCCACTCTATCTGTGCCTGGTTAGTACATCAGTTTAAAATACAGGGGGTTTATCCTTAAAAACACATTCTAAAGGAGAGATTTGTGGTTCAAAAATAAGTACAGTTAATTACTGTTTCTCTAAGAAATAATTCTCCTGCAGCTTGTCAGAATGTAGTTACGTGCATATCAAATAGGATCATTTGTAATTGATACAGATTTTAGTAGTTTGTGTGGAGAGAATAGAGAGGTACTGACGTGTCACATGGCTTGTCGGACGTGCTTTGGTTGGAATTTTTCTTGTGTGTCTCCCTGTAATGCTGCTTTGTTTTGGTGTTGCAAAATGCTTGGTCTTTTGGTGATGTTAGCATCAGTTTTGCAGGAGACTTCATTCCAGCATGGTCCGTGAAACTATTCTCAAAATGCATTTACATGCAGGTAGTGAAACAGTGTAGAGAGGTCTGTAATTCATGTGAAAATGTAAAAATCCCAATTACAACATCAGCTTCCCTTTCAAATGAAAATAAGTGTGCTAGCTTCAGGAAATAGGAGATGTGGTTGGTATCCACAAGGCCTGTTTTATTGTTCTTCACATTTTGCACTTAGGCTGGAGTTCAAATGAAGGACATGTTTATCAAGATCCCTTTGCGGCTGGGAGGATGTTTGACACAGAGAAAGTCCTGCAAAAGTGGCCACACCATGAGACATAAAGGAGGTGGTAGAGAGAGAGAGTTAAGAAGCAGAGAAGCTTTGACAAGAAATCTCTTTTTCTGGCTTAATGAGAAACAGTTCAATGCACAATTTTTGTACTTTATGTAAGGAGAGTAAGCTTCTGAAAAAGAAAAAGGCAGTGTCAGCAAAAAGCTTTTTTCTATTTTCTAAGGTATACAAATCCATTGTGAGCAAATGGCATGTACACAGCCTGCTAAGTTGGCTGTATGGGCATTTGCCTGAACATAAATAAGTAGAATGCTCCCAGAGTCCTGTGTTTTTCCCTTTATCTGCTAGTCGAGTATAAGGGGGAGATTTTGATGTCTCTCCCCAGTGTTGGGTGCCTCTGGCAATCTGAGGTGAAGGGCAGTCAGTTCCAAGCTCCTTACAAGGTTGGAAGATGTTCCTGGTACAAAAGGGCAAACCGTGCCTGTGGGAAGAATCAGAGGGAAGTAAATAGCATTTCCATGCTTTCTGTGTGGGCTTTCCCTGAAGATGGGAGTGCCAGAACTTGCAAGCTTTATAGACTGGAGACTTCCCTTGTAGTGTGTAAAGCAGAACACAGTTTCAAAAAGTAGTATTCTGGAGCATTACTGTAATGCATTTAGGGTCCCGAAATACAATATACATATTATATTTAGACCTGTTCCAACTTTACATCCTTTTAAAGCAGTGGATCTCCAGCCATACTGTCTCCATGGAGGATCTTGAGCTCTCAAGAATAGCTGTGTAGAAGCTGCTACACTACATTGTGGAACATGTCAGTAAGATGGTAAAGGCCGTTTTGAGGCATGACGTCATCTGCTTTCAGTGACCCTCTTTTTGTTCTTTTCTGAATACCTTCCCCCCCTCTGTTAACTGTCAGACTTAAAAAAATCCTTTCATCTCCTAGGATCCCAGCAGAAATTCTAATCAGAATGCAGAGTGCTTTCAGCCAGATCAAAGACCTGCAGTTCTCCTTACTTTGTCCTGTCTCGCTGAGATGCCACTATTTCTCACGTCAGGGTGTTTTTCATACTATAGAAACATTAGCATAATGGAGAGAGGTTTTGTGGTGAGGTAACTCTGCTGCTTCTCTATGTAGGTTTTATGCCAACAAAGATGTGTTTGAAAGCAATTGGGGAAGTTTTATGTTGAGATTACTCAGGAGGATTTTTAATTGCATTAAACCCATGACCCACAGAAAAAAGTATGCACACTGTCTGTAGAATGTAAATGTTTGTGCGTGCATGTACTTTGCAAATTCTTGCACAATCTACCTAGATTTTTTCATTGCCTTCCCTTGGTTGGTAATTGGTTTTTTGGAAATGAAGTTATATCTGCAGATTTCAGGATTTATTACCTGGGGTCAGTACTTGATTATAATCACAAAATGGGTTAATAGCAAACTATTAGAAGTTATTCTTAGATATGCTGTTAAATCTTTCATAGTAGCAAGTTACAGTTTTGAGGCCTGATTTCAGCCATTAAATAATTTTGGGACTACAGTGGTGTCCATTTGTGCTTATTCCTTATAATGCCAGTCCATCAGTAGTTAGTCCAACATCATATGCAAAGTAAGCTTCACCTGTACTGTCTGTATCTGCATCTCAGTTCTGTGGGTGAAGAAGTTGCAGTTTTTGATACTTCCATGCTGATCAAGTTGTATAGCGTCAGAAAATGTTCAGTTACTCTAAAATATTGCTTTTACTAAATGATTACAATGGACCAAAAAAAATTTTTTCTTTACTCCTAAAATATACTTTGGGTGGCATTCATTCCCAGTAATTTGATACTTTGTTTCTGTATATAAATCTACAGGATGTAATGAATACCACTAACCTGTTCCAGCACAAATAGGAGAAGAGATGTAGACACAATCCTACAACATATTTAATTCTTCCTTTGAGATGTCTTCATTGTCCTAAGGCTGTAGCTGATAAAGACTTCATCAGTTCATGAGGTCTTGGCTTTTGCTCCCTCCAGAGAAATATGTGGGTAAAAAAAAAAGAGAGATAAAAATAAATGAGTCAGAAATATCTGCCTATTATTCAAGTTATGCAGCAGTTCTGTTTTGAAATGATATTCAGAATTGGTGATAAAAATACACTTCGTAGCCAGAATGGTATGTTTTACCAGTTTGGACACCTGCCTCAGTTGAGCAATCCAAAATAACTTCATTTGCAAAAGATCTGGGCTGCTGTTTGACAGGTAGGGAGACACAAGGAAGGGAAGCACCAGAGAGATTTACCTCATTTGCACTTGAGTGACAGAAATACCTGTGTTTAATGCTATTGCATTAGTGTGTGATGTTGCTTCATGGGAAGAACTGTTGGTTGCTATCCAAGCTGGTGCTGTCAGGTGTAAGTGTTTTGGTCTTAGAGACCCCACCACTCTTCAGGCTTCAGCATTCAACTCATTTCTGCACAGAGGGGCACACGTGCTTACTCTCCCTGTCATCTTTCACTGTTTCTTTGTTGTCAGATTCTGAGCTATAGGAACCTTTGGAGAAAGTAACTAGCAACTGCATTTCAGAACCCAGAGCCAAATTTCAGCAAGCCTAATCCTGTAACCACATCTCATTCAAGTAGGTGTGCTCAGTCAGCATAACTGTGCTGTGAAGTGGGGGAGAACCATCAATAAAGATATAACACTGAAAAGCATTCAGAAAGATCTCTTCCTGTAACACAGGCTTTTTCAGTCATCTGCTTTTCATAGTTCATCTTTTTGTATATGCTTTCCTTTAAGCTCGGCAGAAACTGGACAAGAATTTTC